ATACTAATGACCTGATTTGCATTTTGACTCACCGGGGTGATTGGAGATCGGAGGTTGGAAGGCGAGCTCGTTGTGGACCGGCCCTGGGAAAAAAAAACCCAAAAAAATTAATTAAATTTATATGTAATTTATATGAAATTTATATGAAATTTATATGAAATTTGTATTAAAATTTGTATTAAATTTATTGTAAATTTGTATAAAATTTCTGTTAAATTTAGGCCAAATTTATACTAAATTTATCCCAAAATTATCCCAAATTTATACCGAATTTTTATTAAATTTATTCCAAATTTATACTAAATTTATATTAAATTTATACCAAAATTAGACCAAATTTATACCAAATTTTTACTGTATTTAGCCTAAATTTATATTAAATTTATATTAAATTTATCCCAAACTTCTCCCAAATTTATACTAAATTTATATTAAATTTTTACTACATTTATTACAAATTTATATTAAATCTATCCCAAGTTTATCCCATATTTTGACTAATTTTATATTAAATTTCTATTAAATTTATATTAAATTTCTCCCAAATTTCTCCCAAATTTCTATTAAATTTATATTAAATTTTTACTACATTTATATTAAATTTATCCCAAATTTTGACTAATTTTATATTAAATTTATATTAAATTTATCCCAAATTTATACTAAATTTATATTAAATTTTTCCTATATTCATTACAAACTTATATTAAATTTATATTAAATTTTTATTAAATTTATCCCAAATTTTGACTAATTTTATATTACATTTATATTCAATTTATATTCAATTTATTCCAAATTTTTTCCAAATTTTTTCCAAATTTATTCCAAGTTTATCCCAAATTTTGACTAATTTTATATTACATTTATATTCAATTTATATTCAATTTATCCCAAATTTATCCCAAATTTATTCCAAATTTATCCCAAATTTATATTCAATTTATTCCAAATTTATTCCAAATTTATTCCAAATTTATTCCAAATTTTTTCCAAATTTATTCCAAATTTATACCAAATTTATATTCAATTTATCCCAAATTTTTTCCAAATTTATCCCAAATTTTTTCCAAATTTTTTCCAAATTTATCCCAAATTTATTCCAAATTTATATTCAATTTATCCCAAATTTATCCCAAATTTTTTCCAAATTTATCCCAAATTTTTTCCAAATTTATCCCAAATTTATCCCAAATTTATTCCAAATTTATCCCAAATTTATCCCAAATTTATATTCAATTTATCCCAAATTTATCCCAAATTTATCCCAAATTTATTCCAAATTTATATTCAATTTAGTCCAAATTTTTTCCAAATTTATACCAAATTTATCCCAAATTTACCCCAAATTTATTCCAAATTTATTCCAAATTTATACCAAATTTATATTCAATTTATCCCAAATTTATCCCAAATTTATCCCAAATTTATCCCAAATTTATATTCAATTTATTCCAAATTTACACCAAATTTATCCCAAATTTACACCAAATTTATCCCAAATTTATATTCAATTTATTCCAAATTTCTTCCAAATTTATCCCGAATTTATCCCAAATTTATTCCAAATTTATTCCAAATTTACACCAAATTTATCCCAAATTTATATTCAATTAATTCCAAATTTTTCCCAAATTTTTATTCAATTTATTCCAAATTTATCCCAAATTTATCCCAAATTTACCCCAAAATTATCCCAAATTTATATTCAATTAATTCCAAATTTTTCCCAAATTTTTATTCAATTTATTCCAAATTTATCCCAAATTTACCCCAAATTTATCCCAAATTTATCCCAAATTTATATTCAATTTATTCCAAATTTATCCCAAATTTATTCCAAATTTATTCCAAATTTATATTCAATTTATTCCAAATTTTTTCCAAATTTATCCCAAATTTATCCCAAATTTATTCCAAATTTACCCCAAATTTACCCCAAATTTATCCCAAATTTATATTCAATTTATCCCAAATTTATACCAAATTTATCCCAAATTTATATTCAATTTATTCCAAATTTATCCCAAATTTATATTCAATTTATCCCAAATTTATCCCAAATTTATCCCAAATTTATCCCAAATTTATCCCAAATTTACACCAAATTTACACCAAATTTATCCCAAATTTATATTCAATTTATTCCAAATTTTTTCCAAATTTTTTCCAAATTTATCCCAAATTTATCCCAAATTTATCCCAAATTTATCCCAAATTTATATTCAATTTATTCCAAATTTATTCCAAATTTATATTCAA